AGGTTTCTGGGGGGAAAGACACCCTGGGACACCCAGACAATACAGTGAAGTGAGACTAAGAGCCAGACCTTCTCCCCACGTGCCCTAGTCTGTTCAGACTCAGAACGTTCCCTTACCATGGACACTGTTCTCAGTAGAGGTCACCCTGGGACAAGGGCACTGAGGAAATAGCCCAGACCCAGGTGTGTGGGAAGATGATGCAGGCCAGGCTGACCCTGCTGCTCAGTCCAGCAGCCCCCGCACGATGCCCCCAGGTACATCCAGAACCCACTGCTGCTGGATGGGAAGAAGTTTGACGTGCGCTCTTACCTGCTCATCGCCTGCACCGTGCCCTACATGGTCTTCTTTGGCCACGGTTATGCCCGCCTCACCCTCAGCCTCTACGACCCCCATTCCAGAGACCTCAGTGGCCACTTGACCAACCAGGTAAGGACACTCCCCACAGGCAAGGGTGTTCTTTGCAGACTTGGACTGAGATTAGAGGAAGGCTCTCCCTGCTTGGAAACAGAGACTCTAACTACAGACATGGCCCAGACTCGGAAGTGGCTTGGGCTGCCCCCACCTGCCACCAGCATTGCCTCTACCTCTTACCTCCCACCTTTGGCCACAATGAGGGCCCATGTGTCCTGATGAAATGACTCAGAGCCCTGCAGCCCTCAACCTCCAGCCTGGCTGAGGGTATGCTGAGGATGGGGTATGGGTGGGGGAAGGAACTGAGTGGTGCCTGTCAGGTCCTCAGTGGGAGTGCTCCTGTGGGCAGAGGTCTCTGGGGAGAGTGCAGGGCATGGTGCCTTCTGTGAGAACCCATAGAGGGCTTGATCGCTGAGGGTGTCTCAGTGGATGAAGATGTTTGCAGGAGGATCTCTGAAGGCGGGTCACTCCAGAGGAGCAAAGCGCCTGCCTGTGGAGTAGCTAGACTAGGGTGAGACTCTCCTTAGGGGGCCCTCAGTGAGGTCAAGACCTCTGGGCATTCTGGGGTGGTAGTCTCTAGGTGCTGCATTTGCCCCTCCCAGTTCATGCAGAAGAAGAGCCCCCTGTACGTGCTGCTTAAAGAGGACACAGTGTGGAGCATGGACCACCTCAACAGCTACATCAACGACAAGTTCAGAAAAACCAAGGGCCTCCCCAGAGACTGGGTCTTCACCACTTTCACGGTCTGTCTACTGCTGCACCCACTCCAGCCTGGGGGGCAGAGGGGCGGGAGCATCCAGGTCAGGAGCCAAGAGTTGAGACCCCTCAGGGTGTGTGTGTGTGTGTGTGTGT